TCGATCTGGTTTTTTTTGTTGGTGAAGTATTTTTTTCACCGCTATTACCGGAATCAATTAATTCAGCTGCTTTTCTTTCGCAATTATTTTGACGAGTTGTCGGTCGAGGATTTGAGACTGCTATTGAAAATTGATCAGATACAATTTCATTGTTGTTTTGTTCCGTAACAATTGTATGTTGCGGTTCATCGAAATTTGATGTATTATTATTCGATATTTCTTCAAGTGAATTAGCGGATGGTGAAAAGTTGTGTTGAAGTTCAATATTATATTCTTTGCAAAATCTTCTAATGGTATTTGATTGTTGTTGTTTATCATTTAAGAAATATACATATAGAAATCGTATTGCAGTACGATGCACATAAAATTTCAAATCGAACAAACAATATAATCCAACAAATGTAGCAAATGATTGTTCACATGAATCGAAATTACAAATGAGTGTCCAATCAACATAAACTTTTATATTATTATCTTGTACAACCATGGATGGTTGAGGTGTCAGTGGTTTCTGATATATAATGATTATGTTAGCGGATATAAATTGAATGACATAATACATAGAAAAGAAAAGGGAAAATGATTGTTTTATTTTCATATAGTAGAGGATTAGCTTGAAAACAAAACAGAACAAATTTATATACAGACACATCTATTTCGTTTAGATATCTTGGATACACGACTGATTTCATAACATTTTTTATTGTGTACTCAAAAAGTGAGTACACTCTGGAATCGGTCAGTGTGTCCGTACGTCCGACCGTCCGTTTACACGATAACTTTTGAAAGGAGAGTCAGATTGCGATGAAATTTTTCACATAGCGTAGGCTTTACAATATCTCGGTCGAGAGAAGAAGATGAGAAGGATCCGTCAAGAAATGACTGAGTTATCGAAAAAATTGTGATTTTTGACCAGACCATCCCTGAGGGGGGAAGGGTACGGGGATTTTTCGAAAAAAAATATTTTGCTCATAATTATTCACAAAATACATAAATCGACTCAGTTTTTTACGCTGATTCTCAATCTGATATTAGTTTTGAACCGAATCATACTTTTGTGTACTCAAATAGTGAGTACAATATAGAATAGTCAGTGTGTCCGACCGTCTGGTTGGCTGTTTACATGATAATTTTTGACAGCAGAGTCAGATTGCAATGAAACTTTCTACACAGCTTAGTCTTGACAATATCTCAGTCGAGAGAAAAATATGAGAAGGATCGACCGAGCCGTTCCTGAGTTATTGCAAAAATACCCATTATTCCCTATAGCTTTCTGTGGAAAAATGGACCCATCGCAACTTTCGTAAAAGACTTTTCCTATCATAGTCAACTAAAACCCCAACTATTATATACCATTCGATAGAGAATTTCCAGGAAAAACGACTTTGTTAGGGTAAATCAAGGGAAAGAGTTCAAAGTTGAGCTTAATTCGGGCCGATGTCCTATTGGTTTGGGAACGCGCAATAGAAATGAAGATTTTAAATGGTAGATTTGACAGTATAATTTTGATATTGAGGCAGTCTAGGATGATTGATTTGTATGATGGTGTGGGTGTGTGTGGGCGGGTGGTGGGCGTGGGTGTGGGTGTGGGTGTGTGGGTGTGGGTGTGGGTGTGTGGGTGTGGGTGTGGGTGGGTGTGGGGATGAGTGTGGGTGTGGGTGTGGGTGGGTGTGGATGTAGGTGTAGGATATGCTCATATCCACTCAAACACCCATCGCACACCCTAGTCCGAAGCAAGGCTATATGATAAATATAAAAAAGTAGTTATTTAAAAGCTACATTCGAATTTTATAAAGGATCGATATAAACAAGAGACGGCAATGCTGACTCAATATTTTTATTCTTTTATTGTCAAAAATTAAAAAAAATTACAATTCCATCTAGAAAAGTTCTTTCCCCACAACTATAGTAGATTATGTTAATTAGTAGAATTTCAAAATTCTAGCATAGAATAAATACGTTGGTAATTCAGATAATTTTAGACTTATGACAGATATTTTTCCATGGCATTATTTATACATTTGTTTAGTTTGTTGATAAACTATCAATAATTTTTTGTATACGTTCAATATCTGGATGATCATCCACTTTCTCTTGCTTTGTATATTGTAGTGCTTTTTTATAATATTTTCGAGCTTGCCGTAGATTATTTCGATTCTTATACAATTCACCAATATTCTCAAATATACTGCCAATATTTGTGACTTTTTCATTCTTTGAAATTAACTGTTTCGATATTTCTAAAGCTTCAATACGATGTTGATTAGATTTTTCTTTTTGTTGTAATTTTGCATATCTTAATGCTAATATACTATGTGATGCTGCTCTTTGCACATGTATCGATGGAAATATTTCATCCCGAATTTGATTTGATTTGATTGCATATTCTAGAGCTTGATTGTAGTTATTTAATTTGAATAAACATAAGGATGTATAGTATAATAGTAGTCCGGCATTTTCATCGTTTAGATTTCGTAAGAATTGTTCGTAGTTTTTCAAGGCCCTTTCAAAGAATGATAATGCTTGTTGATATGCGAATTTTTCATAATAGCAAACACCTAAAAGATGGTAGGAACGTCCTACATCAATTGTGTTTTGATATAATACTATGTCTAATGATTTATATAGTTGTTCAATTGCTTCATCGTATTGTCCTTTCATCCATGAGATATAACCATAATTCCAATAACATCGGGCAACATCGATTTTATTTTCTGGAGAATATTGTTGAAAAATTTGTAATGCTCTTAATGTATAATCAATTGCATTAACATTTTTACCTTTTTCGATACTAGCATAACATATAGCTAAACCGTTATGACATTGTCCATAAAGCTGTAGAACATTAAATTCATATTCTTCTTTATCCAATAAATGCTTTTTATATATTTCAATTGCTTTTTTGTAATGTTCCACTGCCGTGTCAAATATACATTTTTTTTTCGTAACTTGCACCAACATTTTGATGACAAAAACCAATGGTGATGTGGTCTCTTGGTAACACTTGTTGTCGAATATCTAATGATTTAAGAATAAATTCAAGTGCTTTATCAGGATCTGTGCAACATAACTCATTACCAATGTCAAAGTAACAGTGTGCTTCTTTTTCTTTTTCAGTTAAATGACATTTCTTGTCGTTGACACATAATGCTTTCATTCTATATACGAATGCATCATCATATTTTCTTTGACGACAATAAATTATATAAACATTAGTATGACATATATCGTTACATTTTTTGACGTTAAATTGATATTCTTCTTTATCAAATAAATGTTTTTCATAAATCTCAATTGCTTTTTTGTAATGTTCTAATGCTGTGTCAAGTATGACTTTTTTTTCGTAAACTGCACCTATTTCATGATAACAAAAACCAATGGTGATGTGGTCTCTTGGTAAAATTTCTTGTCGAATTTGTAATGACTTTACAGTAAATTCAAGTTCTTTATTAGGATCTGTCCCATATAACTCTTTACCAATGTCAAAGTAACATTGTGCTTCCTTTTCTTTTTCGCTTAAATCACAGTACTTTTCGTCAATACTTGATGTTTTCATTCTATAAGTAAATGCATTATCATATTTTCTTTGATGACAATAAATTTTAGCAATATTAGAACAACATCGGCCGTACGCCTTCTTGACATTAAATTGATATTCTTCTTTATCAAATAAATGTTTTTCATATATTTCAATAGCTTTTTCGTAATGTTCTAGTGCTGCATCAAACATATCTTTCTTCTCGTAAGCAACACCAATATCATGATGGCAAAAGGCAATGTTGACGTGATGTTCTGGTAAAATTTGTTGTCGAATTTCTAATGATTTTTGAATAAATTCAAGTACTTTGTCAGGATCAGTAGATAGGAATTTCTGACCAATATCATAATAACATTGAGCTTCGTTTTCTTTCTCTGTTAAATGATATGTTTTTTCGTTCACACTAAGCGATTTCATTCGAAGATTAATAGCATGATCAAAATTATTTCTATCCAAACTTATATCACTTAAATGTTTAAAAATTGTTGAAATCTGTTTTGAATTATTTGGAGCGTATGTCTGACACATTTCTAAAGCTTTTTCATAGTGTTGACATGACCAATCATAATCTTTTGTTTTCTCATAAGCTAGACCAATGTCCATATGTGCTTGGATAATTTTCTCATAATTCTTTGGATCGGATTTTAGAAGAAATTTCAATAATTTCAATGAATGTTGTAAAAACTCAGCTGATACTCTACTATCAGCATCTCTAGTGTCAAGATGT